ACATGTAAATGACAATTTTATAATTAGTTAATATAAGTCAATTGTAAATATGTAAATAGCAATTTCTATTTTAATTTTTCGTTATCAAATATTTTGTTCCCTTTGAGCTTACCAATGATAGATGTATTATCTCTTTATTGACGACAATGAAAAAGCTAGCCTAAGAGTACAATTTTGTAGTTTGGGTGGGGTGATGGTCCAGTACAGGGTAACCTCCCTGAATTTAATTAGCCAATACCTATTTACAGTATATACCAGGGTGTAGAGAGGCATTGTGAGAGTAACATGTCATGTCCAAGAACATAATGCACTGGCTCTGGCTTGAACAGGGCTTGAACATGGACCAGGCAAGCTGGAATCTAGCGCGGTAACCATTACTCCGCCACCCATCATATGATTAAACCAACGTCCTGATTCTTGCACTCCAAGTAACAAATTAAGTGGTGAATCTCAAAACATCTACAAATACACAGAGAACTGTCTAGAGAGACACATATGGCAATGCAAACCACAAGGGAGGGGGTGGTAGAGGAAAGGGCAAGAAACATGATTTCTGAGAAGAGTAGCAGAAGAAAATGGTAACAGTATAAATATCTCATGATTGATAGTATTGTTTTAATTCACCCCTGGAGTCAGGGTGACCATGTAAAGAGGAGCATGGGAAGCAAGAACTTTTGACTCCCGTCTTTCTCCCTCGTTGCATGAATCAATGCCTTCACATTTTAGTTTAAATATTTCTTAATTCTGTTTATTTTTCAGACATCCCACTCTGCCTTTATCTCCATGCTTACTGTTGCCCTACAACTCTGTGGAATTCCCATAGAATTTACACACAAAGTCAATTTTATTTTCACAGCACTTTTGGCTTCCCTCAAGGACTTTGGAGTGTTTTTGTTTGCAGTGATTGTTGTTCATTGCATTGTAGACTATACCATTACCACTGGGCTTCTTATGCATGTCTTGAAGACCATTCAGTCAAGTTAAAAACTTGCGCGCTGGATATATCTTCTTTTTGTGATCCTCTGGGGTGTGCTTCAGCATGTGGGTCATTTGGTGCGATAGTCTTATTTTTGATTGGATAACTCAAGGTCAATCCCTTTGAAATTTTGATTATAGGTTAAGTATAAAGTATACTTAACAGTTTTCCTTCTTCTTGGTCATGAAATGTCTAAAAATACATAACATATGCATATTGCCCAATTGTTGCATGTAGGTAGTTAAAGGTTAATTCTGCATGCGAGCCAAGTGGGTCACCAGGCTGGCACTTATCTCCAGTATCAGTAGCATGAAGCGACTAGGAGTATTTCTACTCCCCCTGGATGGGATGCTAGTCCATCGCAGGGTTACCCCCAGCATTGAATTTGCCGGTACCCAT